TTCTGAGTCAAGCACAGAAAGCAGTGGCGGACCGTCACTGAAGTGCTTCCCAGTTAGGTGGAAGTGTAGTGTATATCCTACTTCATTGGACGAGGAAAGGTCGGCGTAGTAACGACCAAGCTGCACTAGAGAGAGGTAAAGTCAAACGATGAAAAAGATGACAGTGACAGCAGAGAGCAGCAGTCCATGGACACCGTAGCCAACTTCAAACAAATATACATATGCATTGTCACCTCTCAGGACTAAGATTGATTGCCTCTTGATCTGTAATTAAGCTGGCTCACTACACGTCCGCAGTTTTCTTTGATGGCAGAAATAGGTAGGAGAACCTTTCCCGACAGACTCTTTAGTCAGAAGACGAATTCTACAACCTATTTAGACAATATAAAAAAAGCACTTCTGAAATCTAAATTCTTACTTTGTTTAATTTTCACCACTTTAAATTGTTATCATATTGTAAATAAGGTGTATTGATATTTTTATTGCTCATCCTATACGAACCTTACAGATTTCTATTATTGTATAACAGTCCACAAATCAATGTTAATGGATCGACTTCCTGCAGCTAACACGCGTACAAGGGAACTCGCCTGTCACTTTTATTATATTATACAAACACTATCATAGGTAGTACATAAATATACGATCATATTATTTTGATAACAGAGTGAAAATAAAATACAGTTATACTCTTTAGGTGCCAATAGAACTTAGTGATTACATATTTTCAATGTGCGCATAAAACGTGGTAATTGTATATATTATACTCCTTGATTTCGAACTAAACGTAGTGATTCTATACTATTTGCTTGTGAATAAAACAAAACATACCTAGTGATTATATCCAAGGATTATATGGCCTTACTCATAATCGTTGATTATCGCTTACTTTATACGTATTAATTATCTCTATACCTGTCTTTTTCCAGATTCATTTAATAAAGAGGAAGATACCAACTTAAAACGTCCATTTTATTAGTTAGGCCGATTTTATTCAATACTAAACTTTTCAGCCTGATTACGATGATGTTCTACGTACAAAAACATTCGCCGATGCTAACATATTTGCGCCTTAAGTTAATGAAAAATGGCTAAAAGAGTAAAAAATATGAGGAGCTATATCGGAGTGTAAGATATTACACTATCCGTCTTATTACAAAACGTGGTTTATAAACAGTCTTTGGTTTCTTTTTAAAATACCGTTTATGGGTTAAGAAGAGTCTTTCTAATTAATGAAGTTATTACCAGCGGCGCCAGTCTTCGTGAAATTTGAGATGTACAGTCACGTTCCATATTTTTGATTTTAGTTCCTCAGTTTAGTTCACATATTTCCGCAGGACTTCCTTCGTGAAGCAGATTGTACTTTAAGCCATAAACTACTTTTTGTAATAATACGTATTGTATACTTTTGTACTTACGAAAAATTTACCATGTAGTGGCGGTTAGGCATATCCCCTACTCTATATCATCCAGTGGGCGTCTTAAGAGGCGACAGAGGGATATTGAAAGAAACCAGAATATGGGAAGTAGAGTGTTCCTAAAACCAACTAAAACCTTAAAAAAACAGCGGATGCAACCCCGCCTGCCAAGCGTGACTACTATGGCAAAATCCTCCTCATGAGACAATCTGGGGGCAGGCCTATTTTCAGCATTGAACTTTTATAGGCTGTAATGGATGTATGCATTAATAATTTATACAGCCGGTGGCTATTAGGTCTACCCTGACAACATAAACCGGGGCCAAAAAAACGTCCCGCAAGAAAAAAATTTTGTTACATGGGGGAATGCCTACGCATACCCGCCTGGCGGGGGCTAGGACGGGTTATGTCGGACTCGCGCCAACTAAAACCCTATGGTGTTCCACCTTCGTCGCCTATTGGCAGGGCCACGGGAATGCTTTTGCACACATCCCCACCAGCGTTGGCCGACCCATGGCAGTCTCTCCTCAGAAGAGGACTACTCCTCCCCCTTCTCAGTCTCAGGTAAGGCGCACCAGAACACTAGGCGTGCCCTCTTCTGCGGCCTCCATTTTCACGTACGCAACAAACGCCCTGTTTCCGATGCGCGAAGGCAATGTGCCAGGAAAAACGAGCACTCAGAAGCACCAGCCTTCTTGACCCTAGCGGCAGATCTGGACTATGGCTCCGCCGCCAACCAAGATTTGGCTGTGGATGGTAGGGAGACCGGCGCCTCGCAATTCCAACACTCCTATCCCCCCGCAACCCTAGCACCACCGCATCAATTAACGATGCGTCCCTGTCAGAGTCGTGGAGAATAGGGCGAGTGGCGCATCGCCATACCAGTACTTCTCTTCCTCTGTGACTCCACCTTGACTGCAGCGGTAGGAGGAGAAGGCACCCCTCTTGCCGTGCCCACCGATACACATCCGAAGTTACCTCGCCAAGCTCACTCGGAGTGGACTCCTCGGGCCAGCCCTACACCTCAGGCCAGCCATGAGGAATCCTCTTAGTTCACAGCGGGTGACCAAGCCACAGCTACTAAGCCCCCCCGCCTTGTCGTGGCGGGGGGGCTTAGTAAGCAAGAAAGATTAGTTTATTTCAGTTATTTCCATAGCATAATGTCTTATGGAATTTTGCTATGGGGAAATGTGGCCGATTTAGAAACTATGTACTTTTGTTTTGCAGAAGAGGGTCATAAAAGCTATTTACAACTTAAAACCGAGATAGTTTCTTGGAGAAAAATGTCAAGAAATAAATATATTAAATTTTGCATCTCAGTATAATAACAAATTTTTTATGTATGTTTACAATAAAAGTTTGTTTTAATTCAAAAAAGTGACATAAACTCAGTAAATACTAGGAACAAACACAAGCTAGTGGTACCAGTTTCTCGACTCCACACAATCAATAATTCATTCCTGGGGCAATGTACATTGTACACGCTATTAAAACAAAGTCCCTGAAAATATATGAGGTCTCTCTGAGGTATCTGGGTCACTGGGCCACTGAGGATCTGCGTGATGATATGGATATCGACCGTGAACGCAGGGCGCTGTCCATCCGATGTAACATGGTGGCCCGAAGGTTTGCTCGTTGCAGTAGGCAGGTAAAGATTACTATTTGCAAAGCCTACTGCCAGTCTTTTTACACGGGCAACCTATGGGTTAACTATACGCAGCGGGTGTACAGTGCGTTGCGTGTCCAGTATAATAATGGGTTTAGGATGCCGATGGGGCTGCCTCGCTTTTACAGTGCGTCAGGAATGTTTACTGAAATACACACTGATGATTGGATTAGAAAGCGTGTTGCCTCGATGCTGAAGTGTTTGCGAGGCAGCTCCAATAGCATTCTTAACATAATGGCAGATAGACTCGCCGCTGCTTGAGCACTGGATACCGCTTTATGCCAAGGTATAAGACGCCGGTGCCCTCTTAGCGGATAATCTCAAAACTCATTTATATTTGTGTTTATTATATTTATTTAAATTAAATTAATTACTAACACAAAAATTCATAAAAGTTATATTTCATTTCACTTCAATTTTACTAACATACTATATGGGTTTTCTGTTGCCGGAAATAAGGATATTTTATTTTTATTTATTTTTTATTAGAGTAAATGATTATCATATCACCAGCCACGCTGCAGCTATATTATAGTTGTGGAACGAATGGGTCGGCTCGACCGGGGAAGGAACACGCTCTCACAGAATACCAGCGTAAAATAATAGCTTAAGGCGGTGTGTGCTGTGTTTCGTATAGTGAGTGTAGAGAATCCTGCTCTCTTTTTACTGGAAACGAGGCATTACATTTTAGTTCTCAGGGGTGACAATGCGTCTGCATTTTGATTCTTAATCCAGGATAAATGTAATCGCTAAGGGCCACAGCATGTACTTACTATCATATGGTACTGTGTGCTCGTTTGTCACCCTTATTCTATAAAAAAATACAGATTGATTACTATTCTTTTTTTCATAGGATGAAATCAAACCAACGCTAAAAGATAGTGCTTTATTCATTACAGAATCTATACAGACTTTACCGAATACAAAAACATTAACAATTTCAAGACAAATCAAGTGACAGTCATATTTGCCAAGAAACAAACTTTAAGCCATAACTTCTGGCGTACAATTGCCTTTAACTGATAAATAAAGGCAGTATCACATACAGTATGTGAACTAAACTCAAAGCGGCGACTTTAAATCGAATATTTCGTATTAATATCAGTCCTTACTTAAAGCCTAAATGGATCACAAACCATTCAAAAAGATTTGAAGTCACTGCACTGTTATTCAAGTTCTACGTGAGTTAACTAATCAACAAATAAATAGGGTAACTTAGAGACTTAAGGCAGCGAACACACCAACAACGAGACGCTTCAAAATACACCAGTGTAACTTTTAGGTTTGGTCGGTCCGCAGCTTAACTTTTTAGTTTTAATTCAATACGGAGGTTGCATACAAGATTTTATCATTGAAAGCAACAGACTCTATGTAGTTTTAAATTATTTACAATGCTTATTGTATGAACTACTTCTGAATGTATTTCACCAATTTAAATTCTAATTAAGCCTTTTTATGTCTAGACCTAAAAATATAAAATTTGACTACTTACAAGGAATTTTTTGTTCTTTTATTTGGTAACGCTAAACATATAGCCCAGGGTTTCCCAAAGTGTTATTAATAAATGTAGAGAACAAAGAGTGGCGCCGTGAAGCACTCCTGTCCGCTCCGGAATTTATCAGAATATTGTGGATGTTTTAATTTTTGTGCTTATTATCTAGTATCAATGTATCCTATTTCGACTAGCTAAGGCGCCGAGATAAAATACTAAACCTGTAAGTGTGCTGCGAACTGTAAAAGTTTGGGAACCCCTAACCTATAGCCCATTCTGGAACTAAGTTGCGTTGTCCTACCGTAAGATAACGTTAACAACAAGTAATATAAACAGCAAATTTTATCACTACTAAGCCATTGATTAAAATTCATTTTCAAGTAAGCAACCCCCGAATAAACAACACTTCTACAACTTCATACAACTAAACAGCATTACCGGCGTTGTGAAGCCCGTTGACGCTTAGCGGAATGGTGTTGAACTCGTCGTCTAGATCCTCGGTTTTCCTGTATAGATAAAACAATTTTTTTATAATTTTGTCCTGTTAAATTGTGTAGCTAAAAATCGATTCACGTAACTAATTACTGTTAATAGAAGACTTTATGAAATTATACAGTCTCTATGTTGTTATGACTTTACGCTGCGCTCTAAGTGATTTGTAAAGTGTTGTATAGTGGCGTTGTAAGAATACTACCCCATATCATCACGAGGGTGTCGTAAGAGGCGACTGAGATGAACTGAAAGAGGAAATGCGCAGCAGAACCTTCCTTATAACACGCTCTCACAAAATACCATATCACCCAACGTATATGTACGTAACGTGCATGTATAACCTCACCATAAAATACCACCGCTAAAAATAATAACTGCTGTTATCCACTCGCCTGCCAAGCGTGGCAACTATGGCAAATATCACCTTTATGAGGCAGTCATACGTGGTAACTTAAAGAGCCACGCTGCAGCTATATTATGGATGTAGCACGAACGGGTCGGTTCGACCGGGGAAGAACCACACTCTCACAGAATATCAGCGTACAATAGTAGCTTAATGCCGCTGTGTTTCGTACGGTGAGTGTAAAGAATCGGAGACCCTTTTCACTGGAAACGAGGCATTCCACCTTAGTCCTCATGGGTGAAAACGCATCTGCATTTCGATTCGTAATCAAGGATACATGTACATGTCTATGGGCCACGCCAACCACTTACCATCAGGTGGACTGTGTGCTGGTTTGTCACCCTATCATATAAAAAAGATATACTTCTTTATAAAACTGAAGTTACAAACGAACGTATAGTCCATCTGACGGTTAGTTGCTGTTGCAGTGCATAAACACCTACAGCTAATTTCAAACAAAGAAGGTTACAGATGCGTTGTCCCTTCTGCGACCTGAGATGAAATAGCTCACAGTCTGTTATTATACTGTCTCACTGTCCCCTCAGACCTGAACACAGCAATGCAAGCAATGCCATCTAGCGGTAGAAAAAGGTAAGTGGGATATTACTTATCCAGGCGGACTCCTAAGAGACCAGCAGTGATACCATTTTGTATTTTACCGACTTCAAAAGTGAGGAGTTATTCAATACAACTATATATGTTTTTTTTGTGTATGTTACCTCATAACTCTTCTCTGGGTGAACCGATATTGATAATTGTTTTTTATCTGGAAGCTGGTGCTTCTTGTGTGGTCCCATATAAGTATAATCAATATTTTATGTAGTTTTGAGTTATCTTTATTAATGCGTATTTAATTGACTTCGAATACATTGGTTCGGTCGTATTGAAGTCGGTTGTAATTTTTTTTACCACTTGTTTATAAAAATAAAGAACATACAAGTTATAAGTTACGTCTTTTCAAAGTCTAAAAAATAGATATTCAGACACTATCACCAAATATCAAATACCCAACAAAATAAATGATATTTGAAATACATTTTCCTCTTCCTTTTCCGGGTAAAGTTTTTGTCGATTGTGCTCATAGAGACACAAAAACAAAAATATTAGTTCAAACATCTGTTTTCACGTATTGATACTTTATCGGTGTAGATACATAAATCAAAGATATATCTAACAAGCGAAATACTCGTATGATAATATCACGGAGCCAATATTACTTAAATTAATATATTAGATAACAAAAATTACGTTTAAATATAAATAAGAAAACTCAAACTACGTCATGACTTAAAGCAAAGGGTAGTTGACACTCAAATCAATTGAAATACTTAATACGAACTGTGAAAATTACCCATTCTATCTTTCTAAGGATATTGATAGGAATAAAGGAGTACCAGTGACATCATAGTTTCTGTAGATTCTTATAACCAAATATACTTACACCTCAATTATATATGTATCATAATAAAAAAAACAACAAAAAATTGATAAAATTTTAATTTACTACCAAGGAATATACTACTCTCTACCAAGGGGACACACTAGGTACTAGAAGTAGCAAATTCAAATTATAATATGATAAAGTAGACATTTATTAACAACGCTTACATTTATGTACCCAACAGTCTATTCTGTGTCTGTTACCTATTACAGATTTCGTTTCCATATGAATGTACGAGTTTATTTTGTGCTTGGAGGTAGAGTTGTACCAGACGGTTGTGATATTGCCTGGGAAACTGAGTGTGTTGCTCTCTATATCCTGTTACGATCGCTATATAAAAAATCATATGATAAAAATACTAACGTCCTCTAGACCTAATTTCCGTCACGGTAGCCCGTCTCCACAGAGACTAAGGACAGGATTGTAATTTCTTGACAGAAAATCTCAATAACCAATTTTGGTCCGACCCAGGAATCGAGCCTGGGATTATGTTCAGCACTAACAATCACTTGAGCAACCAGAAAAATGTCAGGGCTTTAATACTTTAATTCATTATATCTAAGTCACCGACTTCTGAAGCGATTATGCTGAAATCATTTTATACTCATTTTTTGAACTCGACTTTTACTTTTATAAGAAGCTTATTTTTTACTTCCTTTTAATCCCCGGGTGTCGTAAGAGACGACTATGAAAAACGCAAGAATTTTTTTAAGACTTGTAACAGATGGTGGTATAACCATTTCTTTTTACAAGCGTAAAATATCTTTTGCCGTGAAAGGAAAAGGGAAGATCTCCCACCAGGCAAGGTGTTCCGCACGGGGAGCGGCCAATGCTCCGAGTGGTGGTTCGGAGCTATTCTACATATACTGTTTTAGCGCGATTTAAGCTTTAATGTGTTCGCTCGATTCGCTTGTAGCACGACAATTTCGCAGCCACATAACCCCAACAGACGAAGAGGGCAGTGTAAAAGTAGTGACACGTCGGATTGTCGATTGGTACCACGATCGTCAATCCGCTTACCGAGCCTGACAATTAAGGCAAATCCGTCCCAGTCCTATAATGGAAGATGCCCATTTCATTTCATTCCATGTTTTACTACGAGGTAAAGCCATGCTGCAGCATTATTGTGGCCACAAAAGAGTCAGCTTGACCGGGAAAAGTGGATCTCACAGAACACCAGTGTGAAATACAGCAGCTTAATTAATGCTGCCGTGTTTCGCACGATGAATGTCAAACTGGAGACCCTTTTATTAAAATTTCATCTTAGTTTTCAGGGGTGACAAGGTATATGCATTTAGATTCTTAATCGAGAGTAATTGTAGATATCTATGGGTTACAATGAGAATAAATAACTATAGTCCAAAGGTCCACAGTATCGACTTACCATCAGATGGACTGTGTGCGCGTTTGTCACCCTAATTCAAAACAACATGTTCCAACAGTGGAGTTATACAGGCTGAAGAAAAAGAAAAAGATTATTTTTTACATCGGAATGAAACGCTTTGTTAAATCAAGGAAATTGTTAAACTAACACAATGCTATCATGTCAAAGTTCAACAGTAACGATCACTTTTAATTACTTCCTACAGTTTCCCAATTATTGTTTCCGACTCGGAATTTTGTTTTGTTAGATGACATAAATCAAATAATCGTTTAATTGTATTAACTTCTGGACTTAATTTTTTTATATAATCTACTATACTATTATTACATTAGATTTATTAAAAATTGATTTTTAAAATAATTTATCTCTTATATAGACCGACAAATTTAACGCAATTTAATGAAATATCGTTGATCAATTTAATGAATCATCATTAAAAGCCATGCTGCAGTTATATTAGTAGTACAGTTGTAGCACGAATAGGTCGGCTTGACCGGGGAGGGACACCCTCTCACAGAATACCAGCATCAAATAGTAGTTTAATGCTGCTGTTTTTCATATGGTGAGTGTAGAAAACCGGAGATCTTTTTACTGGAAACGAGGCATTCCACCTAAGTCCTCACGGGTGACAACGCATCTGCATTTTAATTCGTAATCGAGGATAGATGTAGATGTCTATGGGCCACAGCAACCACTTACCATCAAGTGGACTGTGTGCTCATTTGTCACACATATCCTATAAAAAAAATTTAATGATATTTACGTACACAAAATATCCAATTCTTAAGTAACGCAATGAAAAAATGCGTTCGGCTAGTCGGCTAAGACTTCAAACAAGGGCGGGAAAATAAGGGATACAGTTTTTAATGTAACTATTCAGATGACGTTCTAATTGTCACCTTGAGCTTGTGTCCACACGTCTACAGTCCGTTAGTATCCATCCTTAGTCCATTCAAAAGAGTAAATAAATTACAACTTTGAATAAAAAATACAACCCGAGTTCGAATACCTTAAAGTAATTAATCAATTTCACATTCCGAAGTAAGGGCTTCCTACTTCTTCCATGCGTTATGTGTTAGCACCGACTTCTGAATGTGAAATTATTTAATTATTTTTAGATCTATCAAGTAGGTTTTTACTTTTTATTAAAGGTTTAATTTTAAAAATTAAACATACGTAGTTACGTATAAATAATTAATTTTAATATGATTTTTAAATAATTAACTCATCACTTACAATTTTAAACTATAAATAAATAACGATATTAAGATTCTTTGAAATTTGTAAAAAAGAATTATAGCGTTAATTAATAAATTACTGTAACTGTCGTGTAATAAATTAGCGACAAACGAACCCAGTTAGTTCAGTGGTAGCAGTCAGTTCGTAGTAGAGGTTTCACTATAAAATATATACAATTTTAAAAACAAACAATACTAAGGCAAAGTAAGCCAAATGTATTTTAATTTTCTTTGAATGTACAATGATGATGTCCCCTTCTTATCAGCTTCTTTTTTGTCTATTGTTGTACGTATTTTTAAAAATGCTCCAAATGGCATGGATATATTAATTCATTCCTTATTTCTTTTTATTTTATTGGTACAAAAAAGTTTGTGTAATATAGCAAATTTATACTAGGAAAACTTAACGTGTAACCCACACCATAGCCCCAAAAGTAATATTATCTCTTATACATCTTGAATGACGTGTCTAAACTCACCTGCCCACCACGTTGGGTAGGCGTTGGGTTGGAAGAGCAGTAATAGTTAATATCATAGTTTTAATATAATGAGCTTCATGTTTTTTTTAATAAAATATTAAATAAAAATAATATAAGCAAATTCTTACCGTTTCCTATATTTGTATATGATGAGTACAATGAACGCGTTCCCAATAAACAGCGCCGCTATCAACAGCGACGGGATGACGATGTCTGGAATAAGATAATTGAATGAATAATGAAATGCACTACTGATTATGTACTAGAATAAATAAATGATGAGAAACGGGAATAAAACATAATGGGTAAATAGTTGTATAAACAAATTAGTTATCGACATAACCTTTAGATTTAGAATAAAATACGCAAGGTCACGTCGTACACGTTTCAAGAGATGGTTTTCTTACTTATATACTATATTTACATTTATTACACTTTTTAATAAAATATCGAACCCTCTTTATAAACTCGCAGAATTAAAAACCAATTAAATTCTTTTAAATTCATATTATGATTACCTATGCACTAAAACTAATAATAAAATACCCCAAATCAATAATTATTATGAGTTTTTAAGGCATTAGGTATAGAAATAATAATTCCTACTATATGTGTATGTCTGCTTCTTTAATGTATGGTGAAGGCTTATATTCAGCAGAAGAGTTTTGACAGGCTGTAATAAATAAATAAATATAATTCTATGTGACAACACATCTAGCAGTGGACCGTACCACCCCGCGTTGGTAGTGGCAGCACTCTCTAACCTGCGCACTGCGCAGGCAAACACCATTGCACGCACTGCTGTGCTTGGTAAACTATTAAGCTATTGCATATCTTCTATCGCGGGCCTTGAGCGCGGGGACCGAATCCAGAAATTCCGTAACGAAAAAAACCTCACGCTCCCCACTCCGACGGGCACGGAGGTGTGGCGTTGAAAGCCATGCATCGTCTAACGTCGTTTCAGTTCGGCAGACTTCGGCACTCGGCAGACTTCGGCACGGTGTTTGTGTGCGTACGACTAGACGTATGCGTGTACACTAGCTGCTCACTCAACGATAAAAATTCCTGAATAACCTACATGTATTGTAAGATATTAAAAATATTTTAAACAATATTAACTTCTCATTTATTCAATAAGAGAAAAAAAAATTGTTTTCTTATCGGTCACCACGCTCAAAAAGTGTAACTTGATTTAATATCAAAGACTTAACTGCATAAATAAAATAAATAAATAATTATAATTGCATAAGTTGATAAAAAATGGTATGCAATAGCTTTATCGCGGCAGTCACCGAGTGCCACACGTTTTTTATTAATCTGTGGCTGTGCCCCGGTATGAAGGGACACGGGTAACGAGGCATTTGGCCTTAGTCTTATGTTTTAGAAGATTTGTTAACATTAAATAAATGACATAGGATAAAAATAGAGGATATCATATTGATTTCAATCAATATGATATTCTCTTTGTAAATAAAAAAGCAATGTACATACGCAATGTAATATAATTTGTCTCTCTAACATCGCGTGTCACCTCAACAACATGGTTTTAAATTCTTTGACATCAACTAGCAGAGGGAATCTATCTCTATTAAAGATTTTAAATTAAGAGACGAAATCAATATTTGGGTGTGAAATAGACGATGTCCTTTAAAATAAAGGACGACTAGCAACCTTGAAGACCACGTATATGTGGCCTTGTTTGACTTAACATGTTTGCACGTGTCCTTGGACTACAGTAGCCAGTTACCATCGGGTGGGTCGTAAGCTTTTTTGTCTCTCTATTATAAAATAAACATGATAGCATATTACATGTCAATAAATTCGTTGCTCCAACATCTTTATTCTTTACTCACCGACTATCATGTTTGCCTCGTTGTGCGGCAGTTTGATATCTTTATGTGGACTGTCTGGAGCTGAGTCGTTCCCGGCGGCTGTTATAGTCGCCTCTTCTAAAACAAAACAATATAACACACATAATAATTTAACAAAATATATAGTAAAAAAGTAAAATTACAGCCTATATACGTCCTCAGTGGTGGACACAAGCCTCCTCTGATTCTGAGAAGGTTTTAGGGCAAGGAAATAAGGAAATGTCCGCTGCGCTACCGCAATGTGTATTAGTGGTCTTCACATGTCTTCCAGACATTGTTTTTTGAAGTGAAAACTTCTTTAGCATCGTTGTAATTTGAAACTGGATGAAACGAAAAAGCGACAGTAAAAAGAGACAAACGTATATATCTATAAGATTTAGTCTGAGTGAGAATGAGATAGAATACAGTGTAGTAAGCAAAAGTAGCCTCATGGCAGGGTGCGCACCGCGAACTTAAAAGGTTGTGAGTTCAAATCTGTCATTCGATTATTATTTTTAAGCTTATCTTTGTGCGGTGCTTTAAACGTCGTTAATATACATTTTAACTGTTAAAATAAACAGCTAAAAATTAATAAATTTATTAAATAAATAAAATTAACCATAGTGATAAAAATTATCTTCATCAATCCATTTACATATTACAAACGACGATTTCATAACTTATCGATTTATAATAAATTATTCGTGATTATATCATCTAACGCCTATCTTATGTACCACTTTGAGAGGTAATCAATTTTTGTTCGACAAAATGACTTTATCAATAGAATTAAGTAGATGGCGCTATTACAAAGCCTTTTATTTAAAAAAAAATAACAGTCTAAAAATAATGATTGTTACATTTATTTGCTATAAAATGAAACTTTTAACTTATATTTTATGCCGCACTTGTGGTTGAAAATGATCATATTAAATAAATCCTTTGCTGTGAAATATTTTTATTTTATATTTCATTTCATTTGAAGGTTTCACTTCTACCGCGTGTGAACTGCACACATGTTTTGTTTAATTTCTGAAATATGCAGGTCTCCTAACAATGTTTTTTTTTTGTGGTAAATCTGCACTTAAATTTGTGAACAACTATTTCATTGGTGCCGACAGAAATTGAAACCTATTGGCTCGCTTACTGTGAAATTTACGGCGAGCGCGTAGCATCAGAGCTACCTCGCCTATGCTAACACTTATAATTTGTAATTTGGGCATAGTCACACTGATACAATTGCTACCAGTAGCGTAGTTAGTGACGTTCAGCATTTACTTGTGGGTTTTTTGGTTACATGTACATGGTAGAGCCACACTGCAGTATTATGGTTGCAGCAGGAAGAGACTCGACCAGACAACTAACTATCACACACAAATTACCAAAATAAAATATCAGTACAACGCTGGTATGTTTTTTCTAGTAACAATGCATTACATCTTAGTCTTCTAGAGTGGCAACGTATTTCATTCTTTATCGAGAATCTATGGAGGTATTTATAGACACCACTGAATTACCATCAGCCGGTCTGAATATTCAGTCGTCACTTTATATTCGATAAAAAAGTTACCAATACAACTTTATTATAATATAATTATAAAATGACTGCGTCCCCTAGACTATTTGAACTCACATCACTCAATAACATCACATCATTTCTTTAGAGGATATTTTTACAGAGATATTACACTGAAAAGAAAACAAAGCAGACCTATCGCGCACAGAATACCAGCGTAAAGTAGCAGCTAAATGCCGCCGTGTTGTATCAGTGTAAGGACAGTCACTACCAATATCGTGCCGTGGGGTTACTGCTCTCTATATATACAAGAACGCTGGACTGGCTATACCATATAAAATGTATGGGCCGATTTGAAGCGCCACCATTTTCTGGCCCGAGAACTAAAATTGACATAGTATGCCAGTCTTTTGCCTATTTAAATATTACCTCTGTATTTTAAACTATTAAAATTAAAGGACAATAGAAGCGACAGTAGCCTAATGGCAGGGCGCGGATCGCGAACTCAAAAGGTCGTGGGTTCGAATCCGCCATTTGACTACTGTCGTGAACAACTCCTAACACAAGCATTTTCAAGCTTACCATGAGTTGTTAAAAGGAATATTAGTAATGTTAATTAATAAGATTGCTAATATTTAAAAAAAAAAACAATAGTATTTTATGTGGTTTGATTGTGAATAATTTTAGTTACATAATAAGAATTATTTTTAATAATAATGAGAGTGTGCGTAATACGTAAAACTCGTTACCAAAAGGAAAGTAGTATAACATTTCACAAGTAAATGAATTTACAGCTAATATTAAACAAAAAAAAACTATTTGATAATATAGGTACCTGTTCAAAAATTTGTTATTAATAGTAATATCGTTATTACCAACATGTTTGGCATTATATTACTTAGTTTTGATAAACAACAAAATTCAATAGGATGTCGAGTTCCTTGTTTATAATACTTATCGATTTTCTTTCCTACCCATACCCATATCTGTTAACAACTGAAGTCGCCGACAACAGATAATTATCAAATATTTATTAATTAACAGGTTTCCAACTGAACCTAGATTAAAATTATGGCTTAAAAGCATAAATATTTTGCATTTGCGTCCGAAATTATCTTTGTTCTAAACATTTCACAAACGACTACCTTATTAGATATGAAAATCGCACCACTTTGAAAAAGTGCAGTTTACCGACAATGTTTTCTGGTAGTACAAGTATCATTAAGTATAAAAGTATTAGATTATTATTTCGAACGATTTTAATTTCTTCCCTATTCATTTTCCCTCAAACTCAAGGGACATAGTCAAGTGTAGAAAGGTCGCCTGATGATGACTTAGTGTTTACAAGACGAAAATCTGTTAAATCTGTTTAAATGTGCCCAATTTATTATATCAATGAAATAAATTTTTATAGGGACTGCAAAATTATTAATGCCCTCACTTAGTTTCCGTGAGTTTAGGTGAGAAATAGCTCCTCCTTGAACGGGTTTCCGCCTTGTCATGGTGGGGGGGGGAGCTGCGATTTGAGCTAGAGGAGATTCCTCTCCCTGTACCGCTGCAGTCGAGTTGGAGTCGCAATGGAAGAGGAGTATTAGTATGACGATTGGCGATACGCCACTCGACTATCCTCAGATATACGTCCAGCAGTAAAGGATCACGCTTCACTCCTGGCCGTATGACGAAGCTCAAAGTCGCTCAGCGAGCTATGGAAATGGCTATTCTCGGGGTTTCCCGCGTGATAATTTTAGGAATTAGGATATCCGCAGTAGAGCCAAAGTGATCGACAACGCCCAACGGATTAGTAAGCTGAAGTGGCAATGGGCCGGCCATATAGCTTGAAGAACCGATAACCGACGGAGAACAAAGGTTCTCCAGTGGCAGCCTCGTACTGGCAGGTGAAGTGTCCCCCCATCCCCCAGTGTGAAGGACGTCCCCCCACTAGATGGCGTGACAACCTGGTAAGACATGCAGGAAGTTGATAGATGCACTTGGTCAGGACCGTGTTTTGTGACAATTTTCGTGGCAGGCCTATGTTCAGTAGTGGACTTGTGAAGGGCTCTAATGATGATGAATGATGATGGCATTATATTAATATGGTACGTAAACAGAATGTACGTTACAGGTCTACTTATAACGTCCATTCTATTTATTTAGGTGTAGATAGGATATAGAATTTTATCGATATATTTTGTCACACTGTCTTATCGCTATTATTAGTTCCGTGGACGCTCACTTCCGCTTTCAGCGCCAAAATGGCGCAAATCAAATCACCTCAATATGTCATGTATATGTGTATGTCATATATATGTCATGTCATGTGTATAGCCAGTCCATATATAGAGGTCAGTGCGTGGGGTACAGACAGCGCGACAAAGGGCAGCAGGAGATGGGCAGCAGCGTCTTACAAATAACAAATAAGTAAATAACTGTGGTGGTTTTCTGGCCAAGCGTGGCAACTATGGATACTCCTCCCCCATATGTGGCAATCTATAGAGGAAGCCTACCTTTAACAATGGACTTTTAATAGGCTGCAACGGTAACCACAATAATCAGTAATGTTCAATTAGTAAATAAAAATACATCTATTTTTAAATACTTAAGGGCAAATGGTACAATTAATTTATAATATCTCTCTAACCAAGATTCAATGTACACGAAAAACATTTCATAACATATTACATGTTTAATTCTGTTACCAACAAGGTCTTATTTCACCGTAATGAATATCTCTTAAATAATGATACATATTGAAACGCCCACGCGAGCAAAATCATAGATACGGCTCAACATTATCACTCGTTTTTATTCATTTGCACATTAGCATATATAAGCCGTGGTAGCTCAACACTCGCTGTAAATATAACAGAACGCGAGTAACCCGGGTTCGATCCCCGCCGGCACTTACATGCTCGGCGGTGAAGGAAAACATCGTGAGGAAACCTGCATGTCTGAGGAATAAGAAAAAAAATATTTCGAAGACATGTGAAGTTCGCTAACATTGGGGCAGCACGGCGGACACCTCCTTCCCTAAAACCCTCTCAGAAATGAGGGGAGGCCTGTGCCCAGCAGTAGGACGTAATTTTTGTAAATTTTGACATACATACATGCATATACTCTCACTACAGTAACCCGGAGGAGTAGGCAGAGACTATGGGCTTCTTTTTGGTAAGATCCTAACATCTCTTTCGCTTCTTTCACATCCATATATCTATACATACGAATAACTCTTAATTTGGCCCATCTTTAATGTATCGCCGATTTGGTTGATGAACTTTCGACCCTTGCCGCCTACCCCACTTTTGTATTTCTATGTTAAAAATGTAGTTTTTCTCTCCTTCCTGTTACATTCTTCCTACTTGTCTAAAAATCAGCTACATTTTATATATTTACTAATATAATCCTATACCTTTAAACGAGCAATTCTTCTATAATCGGAATCTCGGAAACGGCTCCAACGATTTTCATAAAATTTAGTGTCCTTTCGGGAGCAATAAATCGATCTAGCTAGGATTTATTTTTAGAAAATGTCTTTTTGTCCATGTTTTCGGGCAATGAAAAACTGCTACAATATAATAAGGTAAATTTGGACATTGTGTTAATGATCGTAATAGCTCAAGTGGATATCGAGCGGTCGCGAAATCGTAATGCCTAGGTCTTCGGTCCGATTTTTTTTTCCTTTTTTTTTCAAGTTACCTTCTTTTGTGAGAAAATCTATTATTTCTATTTTTTTAGTATTTTTAAAAATACGAAAATTTTAATTAAACTAATTGCACTCATGATTTTTTTTTTCAAATAACCAGTTCACTTTTTTCTATTATGTCAATAAGATCAAAAAATATTATTCATCAGTATGTAATTTGTATCTAAATGTAATTTAAAAAAATCCGAGCAAAGCTCGGTCTTCCGTGTACCTACTATACTATATCATAAAAATGCAATTAAATGACAATGGCGAAAATGGACCTACATATTTAAAAATTAACGAAGCATCATAGCTATGCAAATTTAAATTAATTATAATTTTAAGTTTATACAATGCTTACATAAAACATATTGGGGCTCTAGAATAAGGGAGTCAAAGAAATAAATTATTTATTATATTTTTTTTAAAAATAGGTCATCTTGCAATAACACAACATTATTCGCCAGTAAATGTAGTGATTACTGATTATATATACTCTTTGTGCGCCACGAAATTTTTGACATGACAGCTCTTGTCATTCTTTTTTATTATTATTGCTTTCACCGTTCTTACTTGTTTGTTTGTATTCGAAGTAAAAGTAGGTACTTTTCTTTAATGATATAAATTGTTCTACAGCTGGTCAACCTTTGACATTTCTTTTCTAGCAAGCTATAATTAAGTAAAAAAAACATAAATAATCATGTGTAATAGTTTTATTATAAACGCGTATTAACAAAATACCTACCACTGTAACGTTTGACTATGGAATAAATCTTAGGACTGCATGTGCGACCTAATGTATCTGGGGCTAGACAGTTAAAGTACCTATAATAACAGAGCAATAACAATCTACCCTTATTAGGTTTTTTTCTACTTTTAGGTTATTTGCTATTTTGAAGTAAGTATATCTTTTCTCTCCAACTTTTTTAGACTTCCTATTAACTTTTTTGTTAGTTTTGTCACGATCTACAACTATGAATAAGTTTCCATGATGAATGTTATTCCTATCAGTGGGTCCCAAAATGCATGCTTTCTCTCAATCGTCCTTAAATAAAATCTTTAAAAAAATTCACATACGTAAATACGAACCATGCACATCTCTTTCGTCAGGGAGTGCTTACTTGTATTGAAGATAAAGAGATAGAGGAGAAAATGTCACGCACTAAAATTAATTATTTGTTGATTGATCATGTCGGCGATTGTCTTTGATTTAAACATATTATATTCTTATTTACTGTCAATGCATGTCATTCAAACAAAAAAAAAAGCCGAGTACAGAACGCAGCCAGTATACCTAAATACTTGATCTAACGAATCCAAAATAGCTTTCGTTCAATATAAGGAGTATTTTTACAGTGGTAGCATTATATTTAACGTCATCTTTTTCATCATTTATAATAAATATAAAAGTAAAAATAATTATAGCTTGTCTCTATGTCCATTGGATTCTGATTAAATCCTTTAATATTTTATACAATTTTTTGTTTATAATTTTCCCCCATTTTTATTTTTATATAAAAAAACCTTAATGCTCACGCACTGTGTATTTTACGATTCTGCGAATTCTGAGCAGACAGTATTAACGATTTAGATAAAGATGCCCTTAAATAATTTTAAAGTTAGTTAAAATATATAAATATGCGCTGAAGGCTTTACAAAACTTTTTTTACAATTCTTTAAAAAATGGTTTTGTTTTCATTTCAATAAATTAAAGAATGATTTCATATATTTCATTCATTTTATGTCTAATACTGAATAGAAAAGCTGACACATGAGTAAAGAAACGTAGAGGACTATTAATAAAAAAAATGTTTAGAGTAAGAACGTCCTTAAATGTAAACATAGATAAAAAGAAGTTACTTATCCAACATGAAAAAAAAACAAGTTTTGTTCTACATGTTTATTACAAAAAAAAACATCTCACGATAATTCATTGGTAAAATGGGTAATCCTACTTCGTATTTACATTTAAATCCAGCAATGTAATACGGATAAGGAGAAATATACATGAGTAGAGAAAATACTAAAGCAGCCCTGAACAACTTCTGAAGTAACACTTGCTTTATGACACAGAATTAATAGTGTCATAAGAAAGTCCTCTCAAAATACGTAGCGCTAACTAGAACGGATCAAGCAAGATATAAATAATTTTACTGAAGTGAATAAAGTTTGAGCTAGATCGTGTTTAATATGACAAGATTTTTTTTTTTGTATATAAGAAGGAACAAACGAGCATGCGGCTACTTGATTGTAAACGACTACCGCTGCCCTTGATTACTGCCTTTTTAAAAAGAGTAGGCTTTTCTTGAAAATCCCTTTCGTAACGTAGAACTTTTTTAAGGAGTCCTCCAGCCTAGGGATTAGTCTGATTAGGTACATACCAGCCTCTTATCTACGTTTGCGTGCGTGCAATGTTGTGTTTCGGACTCAATGGAACGAGTGGGGAGCAACGTTGTTCGCACACGTGCTCCCTGGATGGTACTAAATGAACAACAACCTTGGTTGTTGAACGCCCACAAAAATTACTAAAGCCTCCTGGCAACTCTGCATCAAATGGTAACAATGCTCACAATGCATAACTCAAATAAGTTAAATGGTCTTTCTAAGGACCAAAGTGACGGACGACGATCAGTCGGAAAAACTTTTAATGTTCTCTAAATAAATGTGGAAGGCCTTTCGGAAGCGAAGCTAGAAGTCCTCAGTCACCTAGCAAAAAAGCACAAGGTGGATGTCTTCCTACTCCAGGAAACGCACGTCAGCGAAAATGTTGGTCACAAACCAACTATACCGGGTTTTGAGCGTATGTCATTTAAGCTGCATGCGAAGCACGGGCTAGCATCATACGTAAACATGAACATTGTAAATATCTCGACTGACCTACCTACAAACGACCCTATCTACGTGGCTACAAAAGTGGGAAATCTCACTGTATACAATGTGTATAAGCCGCCTAAAATGGATTAGCCAGTCGATGTTCTTCCACAACCAAATGGCCCAACAGCGTACATCTGCGACTTAAATTCACGGCATGGTCTGTGGGGATATCGTCGGATAACCAGGCAGGAGAGGAACAGCTGATGTGGGCAGACGCACACAACCTTCATCTACTGCACGACAGCAAACAAAAACCAGCGCTCGGCTAGATGAAAAACCACGATCTAGATGTGTATTTCGTCACCTCAACTAGAAGGAACGCACCACTTCCATCAAGCAAAATTATACAACCCTGCTTCCCAAAAATCCAACATAAACCGTCTCTAATTACTATAGGTATTACAATACAACGCTGGAATCTACGAAAAGCCAACTGGATAGCCTACAAAGACTACGTCGACAAAGTGATCGGGAGAATTCCTGTCGTTGTCGAAAATTACCACAGGTTCACCAAACTGTTACTCAAAGCTGCCACAAGAGCTATTCCAAGAAGCTACCGAAAGGAATACATTCCTGGATGGGATTGAGAATGCGATGAACTGATGCATGCTTTGGAAGAAACCGAAGATCCTGAAATAGCAGAAAAACTAATAGAACGCTGTGGCCGTGGTAGGAAAAGGGGAGATCTCCCGCCGGGCAAGGTGTTCTGCCCGGGGAGCGGCCGAAACTGCGTGTGATAGTTCGGAGATATTCTATATATACTGTTTATGATTCGGAATGTTGATAGCGTGATTTAGGCTTCGGTGTATTTTCGCTTGTGGCGCGACGACAGCGCCGCCACAACGCCTTGATCACGTGAGACTGGAGTGATGGAAGGAAACTAGAGACAGACTTCGCTAAATCTAGTCGTAAAGCATGGTGTACAATGCGAAAACTCGGTGTAGCCCAGCAGCCTCTTTCCATAAAACCTGCTATGAATCCAAATAAAATAGCCTCTGTGCTTAAAAATAATCACAGCAATCACTTACCATCACGACTGTGTGCTTGTTTGCCACCCTTATACTATAAAAAATATATATATATATAACTCAATGAAACTAATAATTACGTCAAATCTCACATAACAAAAACAATATTATTATAATGAGCTCTATCTTATTTATTATTTGGGTGAAAAACAGCCAACTTCCTGACTCCGAGCTGGTTTCGAGAAATACTGGACAGAAAAACCCAACAACCAGTTTTAACCCGAATCGGGATTCGAACCCGGGAGCACAAGTTCAGCAGTCATGCTTACGGCTACTTACACTAATGGGGCAGTCCAAAAATAAAGACGTAGTCACCTAATACTTAAAAGTACAAGGTAAGGCGGCTTAAAAACAAAATCGCTCATATCGCAGATTAAAGGGAATATAACCAAAACAAACTATATATGCTTCTCCAATAGTAAAAAAAACACACCCAAACTTAGATCTAAAACTAAAAATACATACATGCAATAACAAAAACATGTATAACTGCAATTGTCCTGAAATAGAGAAAGTCAACAGCACCAGGTACTTAGGAATAATACTTGACCAACGATTATCTTGGCATCCTCACATAGATTTTATTAATAACTGAATCAGAAAGTTAATATGGATTTTTAAATCTTTAAGATATGTAACCACTAAAAAGCTTATCAATCAAATATACGTTGCATTAGTTCAGTCAGTTCTGGGATATTGTATCCACATATGGGGTGGAGCTACAAAAATAAAATTTCTTGAAGTTGAGAGAGCGCAACGTTGTTTACTAAAGGTTATGTATTCTAAGTCGTACAGTTTTCCCACAGCGGAACTCTATCAATAGAGTGAATTATTATCAGTGAGAAAGTTGTATATATTGCAAACTGTTCTAAAACTCCACAGGTCTTTACCATATAGTTATAATAATCTAAATAAAAGAAGAAACAGGTTTATTTTAAAATTGCAGAAAACTAAAACAAAATCAGCTAAACGACACTACAAAATACAATCAGCTCACCTATATAATAAAATTAATAAAATCATTGAAATATACCCAAGAGATTGTAAAAATAAATTATTTAATTGGTTGCAGCCACTAAGTTATACTGACACAGAAGATCTTCCCTCAGTGTGAATTAGTGGGTGTAAGATATGTATTTTATAGCCGCTGGTCTATGCAACAGTTGTAATTATAATTATGTTATATTATCTCTTTCATATTACCTCTGTTCTTAAATATTATAAAACTTAATTTAAAATGTTTTCAGCTTTAGTTCCCTATCTTAAGAATTATGATTTATAACAATAGTTTTTTTTTGTAAATTTAAATTCTAGATTTAAGGAAGCTCGAAACATCCAATGTATAGTATGTAAGGATCATGAAAGGGCGGAGATGCTGCCACATATATATATATATATGCTTACTAGGCAGCTCCAACAATGAATATTTTATGGATATAAGTTTTTTGATGAAATAAATATATTTTTATTTTGATTTTTGATTGATTTTGATTGACGTCTTAAGGACGCGTTTACAAAATGGATAGGTATAGAATCGCACTACTACATTGACAAAAGTCACACACACACTAGTGTACGCACGGTTGGCTGTGGGAATCGTAGTCAAATGAAATTATTTTGATAATTTGAAAGATTGAATTTGTTTTTCATTTCTTATACCTACCTGAGAAATATACTTCGATACGAAATATGAATACCTGCTCCAAAGACTGCTTGGCACTGGAAGCCCTCTACTGGTAGTGAGATGTTAGCTCTGGACTTTGAACTGGTTTTGTCAGTTATAATAAGACCTTACCTACCTGCGGACTTGATGGAGTGACCTGAAGGTGTAATTTGGTGATTACAACAATAGGAACTTCTAGACTAGTGGAACTAGGTGTGCCGAGTTTGGGTTCGTTTTGTTGGTTATGATGAGACCTTACCACCGGACTTGATGGAGTGACCTGAAGGTGTAATTCGGTGATTACAAGTGGAACTCCTAGACTAGTAGAACTAGGTGTGCCGAGTTTGGGTTCGTTTTGTTAGTTATGATGAGACCTTACCACCAGACTTGATGGAGTGACCTGAAGGGGTAATTCAGTAACTACTGCTGGAATTTCTGAACGAGTAGAACTAGATGTGCCGAATTTGGGCTCCGTTTTGTTAGTTATGACGAGTCCATACCTCCGGACTTGATGGAGTGACCTGAAGGTGTAAATCGGTGATTGCAACTGGAACTCCTAGACTGGTGGAACTAGGTGTGCCGAGTTTGGGTGCGTTTTGTAGGTTATGATGAGACCTTACCACCGGACATGATGGAGTGACCTGAAGGTATAGTTCGGTGATTACAAGTGGAACTTCTAGACTTGTAGGACTAGGTGTGCCGAGTTTGGGTTCGTTTTGTTAGTTATGATGAGACCTTACCACCAGACTTGATGGAGTGACCTGAAGGGGTAATTCAGTAACTACTGCTGGAATTTCTGAACCAGTAGAACTAGGTGTGCCGAATTTCACTCCATCAAGTCCGGTGGTAAGGTCTTATCGTAACTAACAAAACGAAACCAAACTCGTCACACCTAGTTCTACTAGTCTAGGAATTCCATTTGTAACCACCTGATTACACCTTCAGGTCACTCAATCAAGTCCGGTGGTAAGGTCTCATCGTAACTAACAAAACGAACCCAAACTCGGCATACCTAGTTCTACAAGTCTAGGAGTTCCACTTGTAATCACTGAACTACACCTTCAGGTCACTCCATCAAGTCCGGAGGTATGGACTCGTCATAACTAACAAAACGAAGCCCAAATTCGGCACACCTAGTTCTACTCGTTCAGAAATTCCAGCAGTAGTTACTGAATTACCCCTTCAGGTCACTCTATCAAGTCCGGTGGTAAGGTCTCATCGTAACTAACAAAACGAACCCAAACTCGTCACACCTAGTTCTACTAGTCTAGGAATTCCATTTGTAACCACCTGATTACACCTTCAGGTCACTCAATCAAGTCCGGTGGTAAGGTCTCATCGTAACTAACAAAACGAACCCAAACTCGGCACACCTAGTTCTACAAGTCTAGGAGTTCCACTTGTAATCACTGAACTACACCTTCAGGTCACTCCATCAAGTCCGGAGGTATGGACTCGTCATAACTAACAAAACGAAGCCCAAATTCGGCACACCTAGTTCTACTCGTTCAGAAATTCCAGCAGTAGTTACTGAATTACCCCTTCAGGTCACTCTATCAAGTCCGGTGGTAAGGTCTCATCGTAACTAACAAAACGAACCCAAACTCGGCACACCTAGTTCTACCAGTCTAGGAGTTCCAGTTGCAATCACCGATTTAGACCTTCAGGTCACTCCATCAAGTCCAGAGGTATAGACTCGTCATAACTAACAAAACGGAGCCCAAATTCGTCACCCCTAGTTTTACTCTGCAAGAAGTTCAAATAGCGGTCACGAAAGTACACCTTCAGGTCATGCCATCAAGTCCAGAGGTAAGGTCTCATCATAACCAACAAAACGAGCCCAAACTCGCCTAGCCTAGCACCTAGTTCCGCTCGTCCACGAGTTGCAGTAGTAGGTAAGTTTATATATCCTACTTATTTTTAGCTAAATAAAAACTGTGAGTATAAAAATAATAATTTTATCACTTGTCAAGTACTTATGTTTCCAATTTGTTTTTTTCTAATATTTTGTGTATGTACAGCGATCTTTTCAGAATGAGCCGCTGCAAACAGGCGATACAGTGTCCACTCACGACGGCGGCCGAGCGCGGACTGTGGTTTCATCGAAATCTTTGTACAATAAATCAAAGCAGGCACCAACAATAAAATAGCCCTTATTGCAATACATTATGATTCATCCATATTACCAAAATATGTGAAAAAATGTGCATCAGTTTTTATTTTTTTTACGACTATTTGTGACATTTTGTTAAAAAATAAACCCAGGGTTTTTTAATTGAATATGTCTGTCATC